GTAAGCTCTTCCTCGGGTACTTTTTTATACATTCTCTGCAAGGGAAAGGTACAGACACTGAGCTATATATGCAACACTTCCATAATTAGAGCATTTTTCCCAATAAAATATAACTTTGCATCACAAAGAGTTTAATAGCATTCTTGATGCAAGTTTAGTCTTGGAGGCATTCTCAATTTTACAAAGCTGAATTAGGTCAGTTTTATATGTCCATATCATATGGAAAAGCTGTGTTTAAGAATAAACTTGGGACAATTTATGAAATTTCTGTAGAGAAAATTGAGGTAGATTGTCACAATATTGGACTTTAGATATAATTGCATCCCTCCTTCCCCTTTACTGAGAATATACTAGAAAAGGAAAAAAAAGGCATAGTGTTTGCCAGTCATTAATGCATTAAATCAATGTATACTGAGCACTAACTATGCTTTGCCCTCAACCAACCATCATTCTAGCATTTGCAGTAGTCTTTGGCAAGGAGGGCAGGGAAGGAAACTGTTTGAAGGTTCTAAATACAAGCGTTATTCTTTTATGATGCTGTCCAAAGAGATATAGAAAATCACAGCTATATGTTTCTACCTACTAAGAGAACTATACAAAAAAGCAAGACTTCTAAAAGCAAGAAGGAGGATGATATTTGTGACAGGGAATAGCACATGACATTTAAACTCAGGAAATAAAAGCTTAGGACATGATAGAAAAAGGAAACTGTGTTGGCCCCGGTGCTTTGCCATGAAGAGGTGAAGGAGATTTTGTTCACAGCAACATGTGGGAGAAGCAGCTAAATGGCATCCCTTGAACTTATTTCTTTTCTGACCTTCTGAAGTTGCCAGGTTCAACTAATTTTCTCCTCCTGGTTACATCTGAAGCGGGTTCCAGGGGCAAGAACCAACAGTTCCGCAGAGATATATTGCACACATCACAGCATCAACAACTTTCTATGGGAATGAAATGAGAGCAGACTAATAGCTCTTTGGTTAATTAAGCTCCACTACATCAGCTGATGGCCTTGAACCATCAAAATATTATTCTATTTCACAAATATACATTTATGAGATTCTGGAAAAAATTTTCCCACACCACAAACAGATGCATTTGCTTTAAAAGACTAGTCAATATACAAATCCAAGAAGCCAGGAGGGCAAATCAAATAATCTAAGGCTGATGAAATGGCAAAGGGAATATGATACAAATCTCCTACTTGAACCAATAAATGAGTTAGTTATCTAGGGACGTTTTCAGGTTTTCTAGAAGTAAGAGGTGTGTGTGCGTGTGTGTGTGCATGCATGTGTGTGTGTGTACAACACATAATATAGAGCAAAGGAATCAGTTTTGGTTTAATTCTACACTCTGTAGGTGGTGTACAATACACCACAGTTAGAAGCCTTTTCCTAAACTGAAAAGCAAAGTTGGTCCATTTCAGCTGTGAATGCCAACAGTGCTGAAAACAAAGAGGAAACTGCATTTTTTCCTGCTTCTCTGAATAACATTGTAAGAAATACAAAATTATCAACAGCACCACTGAGCAAAATATTTTCAAAAGAAAGTCTTGGGACCTCAGATTTCATCTATAATTTAAAGGCTATTCTGATTATGTTTGTTCCTTGATTTGTCAAACACAAAACTTTGCTGATGGGGAAAGAAAGAATGGTTGGCAATACAAACTGAGTGTCATTTTACCCATGAAAAGCTTTTGGCCGTGCATGGAAAACTTGCTCAGATTGGAATGTTGATTAAGTCATAAAGTGTGCCACCTTGAGTAGAAGAATACGAGGATTATTATTTTTTTCTTTAAGGCAATAGTTTACTTCTAACGATAAGGTTACTTCTGAACAGTTGATGAAGTGTGGATTCTCACTTTTCTGTATGTGCTTGTTCCATTTTCCTCGCCAATAAACAGTGAAAGGAACCTGGAAAGGAAAGCCCTGAGGTACAATTTCTTGAGTAGAATCATTATACCCTCCTCCTTTGGAGTTTTCTCGCTTTGTTCCAACAATCAGGTGCTCCCTGCTAACCAGGAGCAATCAGACTTTAAATCTATACAGAGTTTACAAGGAAATGTTGTACCATGAGTATATTTATGTAACAGTGTTTTCAAAATGCCTTCTCAAGTGGTCTGTTACATTCTGCTGAGCGTGTTTTACAGGTTGTTTAGTTGTTTTTTTATTCCTTTTTTTTTTTACTTAGAGCATACTGCCATTGGCTACTTAAACTCTGTTCGGTGCTACACTAAGGGGCTGCTTTAGATGAATACTGTCTTGACCAGAGTTCTGCATGATGCCCAAATAAAGTTAGTTTTCAGGTTAAAGACTTCCTTCCCTTTCAAGTTGATATGTGTAGAGCAGGCAAAGGGAGATGCTATTCCAGTCAGGGCTGCTATAAAATCGTTCTTCAGCTAAATTCATAACACCTTCAAGAGCTCAAGAAATGTATCCTGGACACCAAAAAATGCAGCCAAAATATATTAAGAGTCTTGGGTAGAGAGATCTACCCATTTGGGGTCTTGAGAGTTTTAAGAGATATAGATTATAAGGCAGAAGAATTGATTTTTAAGTAGTCATAATAACTGGAAATATAAGATCTAGGTTGAAGGGGAGAATGATTAAAAAGTTTGCATGCCAACATTGCAGCACAAATTTCAGTGTCTCTGAAATATCTGGCTTATTTGTGATGGTCACAGGATACCTTAACGCCCATTTGGGTGGCTGGGGAACAGAATGAGGAAGATGAACTGCTGCGGAACAGCCCTGGATGAAGCAATCCCCTGAGCTGCTGGGAAGGCTCTTCTCTGTTTTCAGAACAGATTTTCTCAACTCCAAGCCCTCTTCAGAGTCCAGGAAAAAAAAAAAATATATCAAAGGTGATTTAAAATCCTGCGACTGCTCCAGCATGAAATGACTATGTGATGGGGAGCTTCAAATCTGCTAAAGCAGAATTACAGAGTATTATTATTAGTATTATTTATTTAAAAAGAGGGATAGCCCTAGAATTTCTTTCAGCCACAGAGCTCAGGAAAGTGGAAAAACATGTCAGGACATGATGATTATGGAGAACTTCCTTTGAGGGATTAAAAAAAAAAAAAAATGTAACCCTCAGAGAACATCCTCTAAAGGTATCAGATCTGTCGGTAAAAGAATCTCTCTCTCTCTCTTACACACATACACACGCACACACTAGATAAAACCCCTGCAAAACTGGACACAGCTGATGAAAAGCAAAAGCCAGGCAGAACATTCAGTTGTGTTTGCCATGAACGACAGGGCTCATTTTGCATGCAGTGAGGTACAGCGGCCAGGTTCAATGGATGGAAAATCCCACTCTCGAATCTTACATAAATATCTCTTTCTCACACACAGTTTTCCAGTTGAAAAGCTCCTATAATGAAGCCAGAGGTGACAGCCAAGGGAGGGTTGTTAACCATTGAGATGGCTGTCAGGATTGCTGTAAAGAGGGCAGGCGCTTTCTAAGGGCCCCAACCGTCCCCAATCCCTCCGATCTGCTTCGCTGTGGGATCGATTCGAGAGGGCAGTGCTCCTATGCCTTCTCCAGCGTCCCCGTTCCCATTCCCGGCACACAAATTCTATGAGGCCGGTGAGAGAAAGGAGCCGGCTGATTAGCGCGCTAAGGGATGGTCGGATCATGCCTCTTAAAGAGGAAACTCTTGTGGAATCTTCAGGAAAGGGTAGTAAAGTTGAAAAGACTGTTTCTCCCTTGCTTGAGTATAAGCTCTATCCTTTAAGTGGAGCTGAAGTGAGCAGCTGCCAGCTTGATTTTCCATCACTGACTAATGTGCTTTTGCAACAATAAACAATTAATGTTGTTTGATATCTTACATTTAGCAACCCAAGCAAACAGCTGCCATTGCGCCTCGGGAAGGCAAACGGCTAGTCCTGGACGTGCAGCCGGCTCTATGCCTGCGCGGAAGGGTCCACGATAACGAAACTTTCAGGTTTCTTCCAGATTGGATGGGGAAGGCTTTGGTCTTGGGGAGGGAAAAGACGCAGGAAATTAGGGATACCTGTTGGCATCATCGTTGGCGGCGGCAGGTTTTCACCCGCTCCCTGGCTTGACTGGAGCCTGAGAGAACGGGCGCAAGTCCCTTATGAACCTGTTACGCGCTGGCAGAACCCAGGCAAGAGCCCGCTTTGCTTCGGGCCCTGCGAGGGGCGCAGCCCGCCCCGCAAGGGCTCGCGGACGGGGAGGAGTGAGATGTCAGAAAGCGCAGCTCCGGGCTCCGCCGGAGTCTGAGGGAGTGCCTGGCTCAGCTCAGGAGGCCTCTGTGAGCGCAGTCTCGCGGGCTCGGGGAGCACACTGCTTGGGGGGTCCTGCCTGGATGCGGGGCAGCATCTCCGCGTCCGCAGAGCCGCGGGGCGGCTGGGGAGCCCGGCAAGTTTGCAGCGGGCACCGCGCTCCCGGGCTGGAGGAGCCACTTGTGGGAAAGCCTCGCGCTGGGGCTCTCGCAGCTGAGTCGTGGCCCGCACGACCGCGGGGGTCGCCCTCCCTCTCCTGGGGTGGGGCGGTGCAGCAAATCAGCCAGAGGGCACCCCCGATCCCCTTCCCCTCCTTTCTGCTCGGGCTCGCACCTGCCTCTCATCCGGCGGCGGGTGCTTCCCATTCACCGCACGGACCCCGCAGTGAAGGCGCCCGGCTGCAGCAGCGCCTGCCCGTGTCGCGAGGCGGCGAAATCGCCAGGCGACAGCGAGGGAGCCCTCAGGAAAACTGGAGGGGCACAGCCCGCTTGCTACTACTCCCCAGGATCTACTGTCAGAGCAGGTTGCAAAAAATCGTCTGGCAGAACCCTGAGATGATCCCATCATCTGTTCATAGCAGGAAAGAAGACACAGCTCAGCCCCGCACCCGGGCGGCGAACCCGCATCCACCAACCGAGAGAAAGGAGGCGCGCAAGGTGTCGGAAGGGGCATGGGATTCCTAAAAGAAAAGGTCCCTTCTGGGTCCTCGGGGCGTGGATTAAAACGAGGGGGCGTGGGGGGACCACTTACTCTTGCGGGGCTCCGCGCCGGCGAATTTCAAGCCTCTTGGTTCACAAATGGCTGGAGGGGCTCGAGGTCGGCTCCCGAGGGCGGTGAACACCGAGCGTTCCCCGCGCGCTGGGCAGGCGCCTCCGGATCGCATTCATGCCTCTCGGAGCTTCGGGGCTCGGTGCGGAGACGCCGGGCGGGCGCGCCGGGCCCTGAGTGTCCGCAGCCCAAAGTGCGGCTTCGCTGGGTGGGCGCTACTGTCCGTGCACAAACCGGCAACAGGGATGAGCTTCGAGGAAGCAGGGAGATTCCAAATAGATTCACGAATTCTGGGCTGAGCGCTCCGGCGTGCGAGCCCGCCTGCCTGTCAAATGTAACTGTGAAGTGATGTGGAAAAGTGAGTCTGGTGCCTCCCCTGACGGATCTCATTGGGCAGAGCGAAGAGGCAGGTCTACCACTTGGAAATTCATGTAAGCGGGCCCCCTCCCCGCCCGCGCCCGGCATCCCGCCCCCCCACCCCACCCCACCCCACCCCACCCCGGCGCTCTGGCGCGCTCGCTCCTTCGTTCTCCCCCGCTACCAAGTGGGCGCACAACTTTTCGCTCCTCGCTCTCGAGCACGCCCTGCGCGTCTCCGCCCCGGAGCCACTCCGGGAAGATGCGCCCTTCCGTGTCCTGCGAGCAGCCCGCGGAGGGCCAGGCTCCAGGATAAGAGGGCTGGCAGACGATAAAAGGATGCGGAGGAGGTACCCGCGAGCTTTCTGAGTCTTCCCTGAGCTCTGAGGCTAGCGAGATCTTGAAAAGAATCCCAGTGATCCAGGGCTGTTTTTCTTGGGAGGAAGAGGACGCGACAGGGCAAAGGGGTGCGCGTGGGCAGCTTACCTTCTCTTTATGCCAAGAACCACGAGGGGGCCGAGTGGAGTGTTTGTAAGGCCGCTGCCTACTACTCAGACGCTGTGGTTTTCGAGGCCGTGCGTCGTGGTCCTGTGGGTGGTGCGCATTCCTCATATCCCCAGGCTTCTACTGCTTTAGGGCGATGGGATGAGGGAGCGCAGACGGGCAGCCACGAGGGGTGCGTAGTATAAGTCCGTGTGAAAAAGGCAGAACTTGCTTGGGAAATAAAGGGAGGGACTACTAGGTCTTCTCAATGTGCCCTTGCCTCCAAATCTCCTCTCAGGCACCATGCTTGCAGCTCCTCTGCCTCCGCCACGAGATGCCCTTTCAGGTCCTTTAATAGACTCCACTCAAACCTTGAGAATTGGCCACCCTGGGGTAGAGACAGTGCAAGAAGAGGAATCATGAATCGGGAGGTCCAGATGTCTTTTCTTCTCATCAATGGGGCAAACACGTAGGAATATGTGGCCACTATGATCATCTTTTAATAAAATTCGTGAAAAACACCGATGAGCCAATCTTTTGTTTGCTTGTTTGTTTGTTTAACTTCCTGCCACAGGACACTTAGTCCATTCTCTGTGCACTAAAGCTGAACTCTGAGGAAGGGTTTTACTACCTGGAGACAGAGCTGGAATGGAAAAAGAAAGGGTATGGAGAACCAGACACAAGGTCCGTAGAGCTTGTACTGTCGGACTCAAATTAATGAGACAGAGGGAAGAGAATGAGGAAACAGACACAATATGCTTATAATATTTATGCAAAGTTGACTGTTTTGTGTCTGCTGCATCTACCATCCATTGGTGAAATACTGAAAACAATATTGACTACAGGTCTAATATCTGTCAGTTTCACATTCTAGCTGATATGGGCAAGAAACTTAGTGAATTATTTCAGAGAGAGAGGGTGAAGAGAACCAGGAGGTATTTTCCCACAAGGCAGTCACTAAGTAACTGTTCTCAGCTCAGATTTTGTCTGCTTACAGGGTATTCAGGAATTGGCTAATTCTGTCTTGGAAAAAGGAACAGCAGTCACGCCTCAATCAAATTGGAACTGCTGTTGGACCAGGCAGTCCCAAGTGAACCAAGTGAAATAAATCACATCTTGGGCTGTGCTTAATTTTCAGACATTCATTTTCACTTTGAACAAATGCTAAACCTTTCCTTGGGGTACACCTTCTTACATCTATGAGAACTAAAGAAAAGTTTATGTGTTATTGAAGCCTGGGAATTGTTACAAGTAACAAACTCACCTCAAAAGAAAGCTAGAGTGGTAGAGCTAGACACTATCCTCAAATCTCATTTTCCTAAAGGAAAAATAAAACTATTTTGATGACAAAGTGAAGAGAGTCAGAATCCAATGGCTTGAGTTACCTTGGGTTAGAATGAGCTTGTTTTGACTCACCTTAGACACATTTATTCTCTGAGCAGTTGCATACACTGTCCTAGCTGAATTTTGGCCATCTAGAATTCAAGGTAGCCCTCTCTCTCTACATTGTTAAACTCTGCTCAAAGCACTGCAGGAGGAATTTCCTGCTAATTTTCTCCTAATTCTTGAGAGAAGCCTGGATCATTAAGTAGTATGAAAGAGGATTAGGATAATGTTAAAAAGAGCTATAAGGATATTTCTAAAATAATCAGGGATGCTGAAAGACAAGGCATTTGCCTCTTTAACAATTCTACCCCCTCTTAATAGGATGCAGTGTAATGTCACAATGGTGAGAGCCTAAATCCTTAAGATAGTTTTCTTTCAACATCCTCTCCAGGGTTATAGCCTTCCAGTAGGAAGAGGACTGTTACACAGGCTTTTTAGGATGGCCACTAAAATTGCATGTGTTGTGGAGTATTTCAGGGGAGGAAGGGTGAGGAGTTATCTGATAGGGCAGGAGTATAATCAGAGAAGGAGTGAGGGTTAGGGGTCGGTGAGAGGGAAGATTGCATTCAGAATAACCATAACCTTGGCTGATTGATGCTACAGTGGGATGAGGCAGGATGTCTCTGGCCTGCATTTTGATGACAGGCAGACTATTTTGCAGAGGAGTCTCTGCAGTAGAATGAGATGGAGAGTGACTCCATGTAGTAAAAGACACTTCCCTTTTTCACTAGGAGTGGAACTTTTCTTCTAATTTTCAGCAAGGAAGAGAGTAAACCAAGTGACTGGTTAGTTGAAGGGTGAGGAATCACATGGCCTATAGGAATCAGAGCCCTGGAAGGGGGAAGGAGAGCTAGGAAGACTCCAACTTCTACAGTTGGGGCAGAAAATGGCAGAATGGAACTTATCTATTACTCCCTGTGATAAAATTCAAACTTTTCATCTTTTCCTTCTTCAGCACACAATAAAAAACTAAAATAAACTAACTTAGAAAAATGTGTTTACCATGGTATGGTTACTGCGAACTTGCAGATTTATTGGATGGCTTTTCATTTCGTTCTGTTTGTTCTGTTTGCCACACCACGCAGCATGAGGGATTTTAGTTCCCCCGACCAGGGATTGAACTCAAGTCCCCTGCAGTGGAAGGGCAGAGTCTTAAGGTTGGACTGCCAGGGAAGTTCCTGCTTCTAAATTTAGATTAATATTTAGATTAATTAATTCATCCATTTACTCACGGAATACATCTTAAAGGTAAGGTTGAGGAGTGTGGATTCCATGAATGAAGGGATTTTACAATGTGATACCTGCCAAGGGTATTTCAAAGTAAGGTTTAAAATAAAAACTTGAAGAATGTGAATATGAAGAAGGCAAAAACAGAACACCAGTAAGTATGTAATATTTTCTAGGAATTCAGGAACCTTTTCTCATATTTCAGCTTATGGAATTCCAATGAAAAATCTGCAAATGACCATGTCTTTTTTTTTTTGGAGGGGATGCATATTTTATTCTCAGTAATTTCCTGAGAAACACACTTTTTATATATTTAATATAAAAGTATGTAACAACTGTGTCATTAGGCAAAAAAAAGAAAACATTGAAATTTCAGTTTGACTTTCAATATTGGAGCCTAAGTCATAAGAATGGAAAGATTAGGAAAGCTGTTTTTAGAAATTTAAATGTTTAAATAAATTTAGAAAAGTGTGGGTTTTATTTTTTTTAAGTTTAAGGGTTTGTTTTAAACCAGCTTCTTTACCAAAATCATGAAAAGACGAGATGGTGCTCAAGTTAAGAGAATGTGAGCAATTATAGTGGTTCTCAAACTGTGATCTCTGGACCAAGTACTACCTCCCGATCTTCAGGGAACTTGTTAGAAATGCAAAGTTTCCTGCCCTGCATCTGAGTGGGGCTCAGAAATCTGCCTTTTAACAAATACTCTGGGACATTCTGTGACTTGCTAAAGTTTGAGAACCACTGCCTTAGGCTATTCTTTTCTCAGGTGATCTATAAAAAGATGAGAAGAATAAAAGTAAAGTACGGTATTATATGACTACCTATTGTTTTTGTCCTGGAATATTCTAAGACTGAATACTATCCTAAACAAAATAAATAAAGTAAAATAAAGACAAAGAAAAGTGTATGCACACTAAATTTATCATGTGCTTATTACTTCACCAGCGTTTATTACAGGATTTGAGAAATTAAACTGACTTCTTTAGAAATGGTTGTGGATTCTTGGGGTACAATCATCACTGGACTCTCTGTTTAGAGCTGTGATGCTCTACATTTCCTGGCAGCTGCTTTCAGCTGTCCCTGAAATTAGACCTGGATCTCTTAATATTGACTGTAATTACTAATCTTGAGCTTGCCATTATATTTTCAGTAAATGGAGGTGTAAACACTTTCTGAAAACCACATCTGTGCTGAGAGCATTTTGGAGAAGTTTTTTCAAAACGGCATTATCTCTCATCTTCCCAGGTGCTAGAAAAGAGATAAGCTCCAATTCAGCTTCTAAACAGAAACTGAATGGGGGTGGGTGGGGGCGGGGCAGCAGATAGATTTAAGGGGACTGGTACAAAGCTATCAAATAAGCCAGCCCAGGTGTGGTGGACTACACACATTTTCATTTGTTGTTTGGTTGTAGGTTTTGGTTTTTGGTTTTCCTGAAAGAGAACAGCAGCTAGGTTAAGATTCCAGACCCCTCTTGTTTAACGTGGGAGCCATGAAGAGGAAAAAAATAAAAATAGTTCACATTGTGCTTTAAAAAGAAGAAAGAGCAAGGGAAGGGAGCTTTTTCTCCCAAACCCGCCCACCCC